AAATTTTCCATGGGATACCCTCATGGGACATTTTTGTACGGGATGTTCATGGAATATCTCGACATGATGATATCCGGATTTTTAATCAAAAGAAATCATAAAATCACATCTTTTAAAATAGTGCAAGGCTTCATTCCAATCCTCAAATTTAATTTTGTCTTCCAAATGAACTGATTAACATATATCGGTACAGTCCTTTCTCCAATGGCCTGTTTTGCCGCACCTGAAGCAGATGTCAGTGGATCTGGCGGTAGCTCTGAAGCCCGTGCCATACGGTGCGTAAGGTGTCAATTTATATTGGCTACCATAGCAACGAAAAAGGCTGTCTTGACTAGTAGACGGCTCAGACTCCCATTGCCTCTTTGCCGCGATCGGCTTCTGCAGGTAGGCCCCTTTTGAAACGAAATTGTACCTCGCTGGCTCGTTTCATCGACTGAACCACTTGAAGCGCTTTTTCGTTCTCTTGCTTTCGTTCGGCTATGATCTTGTCGAACCGAGACTGAAAAGAACCCAAAGCTTCCGAAACTCCTGCAGACACTATCTTAGAGACATCTTGAGCAGTTAAGGCTAATGGCCTCTGAGAACCTTGCCCTTGCAGCATTTTAGAATCTGACATGCGAAGGTTGTCTTCGTCGTTCAACATATCAGTGTACGTGCACGGAGGAAATCTACTGGAAGGTCTGCTGTAGCTGCGCTGAAAACGATCAATGCTTGCCACACCCTCACCGTGTGGCCTTTATCACCTTGCCTTACGTAATATGTTAATATCTGTCATGCTCTCTAGCTCGCGATAGAAAATGTGCATTTAATTGACAGAGTGGGTTCTTTGATGAGGTGAGTTAAATACTTCCATACCATATATGATTTTGGAGTCGGGTTTACCCGTTGTTTGGTTTAATTAAAAACATATCTCTTGGGCTAGACCCACTGCAATTGAAACTCCTTTAATAGCACAACATTGCAAAACCTGCTGTCGTCTTAATAAAGTCCCTCCCCAGCATAAAGGAAAGAGTTGCCAAGCCTTCAATGGTAAAACTGCAGAGCAAATTGGCGGGTGGATTAGCACTATTAGAGGATTACTGACACACTCCACCAGGATTTACTGGGATTAAGCTTCTGAAGAGGTGTTTTCAAATACTCGTAAAAATGCTGTTGAAAATGGTTTTTGACACTTCGGGTTAGGTAGCATCGCGAAATTGACCAACTCGTGGACATCCCATGAGATAACAGAGAGCAAGTCAGTCCCTGCCAAACAAAAGACCCCTTGACAACTGGGCACGCCCACAGACAGAACGCAATCTGGTTCGTTAAGTGTGACATCTCTTCAGTTTAAAACCCCACCCACTGCATATGCACTTCACATGGAAATACATGTACATGCATTGATCTCTGTTAAGATGGAACCATGGAACCGGAAGTTAACACACAACTTCAGTGATCGTCCAATGGGAGCCCACGTCTGCCTTTGTGAACAAGTCACTTGTGAACCAGATATGCAAGGCTTATGTAAATTACCGGTCTTACGAATATGCCCGGTATTCCACAGATTCCCGGCTCGGAAAAAAAAATCACTATCAGGCTACTTTGGGCCTGCAATTGATCATGAAGGAATAGCTCAATTAATTTGTACCAAAGATAGATAAATAATAGCAGTAACATACATGTATTTCTCGTCGCTGCGAGGAAACAAAATTCATTGACCCTTGATTGTCAGCAAAGTTACTTGCTTGTACAATCATGCAAAATTTGTTGTTCGCGCTGGCACTAGATTGCCTTAGATAACACATCCAAAACAGTCAGCGGGCATATCCCACTAACAACGAGACCACCAGTTTTACAAACAGCAGGCATGATGCGGGCACAGAATTCAACCCCTGTTTCGTGAAATTTGTTTTACAATTGTTACTGACATTTCAAAACATGATTTTTTGTGTGAACATCTGGATTAGTACATTTATGGTTTAAGTTTTTGTTCGGATACAAACGCTTTTGTAGTTTTGTTCTTATGCCGTAAAATAATTCCATCCTACATTAACCAGCCGTTAAGTTGGGACTTTCCTGTGAGCACACAATCTCTGCTTTTTCAGATAGTCTGTTCCCTGTCCAAAAAACTGCACTGATTTACGTATGAGAATCCAAGGAATATGGTAACCATGCCTGCAAGCATGTTCGACCCTGTTGACGCGCCAGCCACCTCCGGGACTTTTTCCAGCTGCCTAATATTGTGCCATGAACATTATATTCACATCGCAGATAATTGAATATTTATCCAGAGGTGGCAGATCATTCTAGATAACAATTGATTTGACTCTGGAGGGTGTAGACCTGTTTTCCATTTGTTTCTTCTCCAATCACATCAATGATTTACAGCCATACAGTACTTTAGGCCTATGTAAGAACCTTAAGTGGCAGCATGATTGTACCGGCCTACATGTATATGTTTTTTCCTATTACAATCAGGCTTATTTGTTTGCCCAGTATGCATGAATCTTTATGTTTAAAACACCATTGTCCACAAGAAAAAAAGTTTATATTTGGCTTCTGTAGCTTTATTTCTTTTAATAGCTTTGTGTGTTGGGGCACAGTTATCACCCTCCTGGGCCCTACAACTGAAAACTACCTGTAATTATTTCATAAATACCAAGATTCCGTAAATTGTACATTTTGAGGAGAACACTATGAGATTTCCTTTTTAGTGGGATGAGGGTAAAGATACCGGTACTAACATCACCTTACACCACTGTTTAATGTTGTAGCTTACTGTAAAGCCATAACTATTTTTACATTTATTCAGCATTAAACCCTAATTTTCCAAGAAAGTGTTTGGATTCATTCAAGTATGGATATTGCACACTAGTAGTTCATAACAATTATGATCAGTAAATCATGGAGTAATGATGCAACTCCTTTTTACAAAATCCTCTTTAAAGATGGGGACTTCCAACAAGGGAAGAAGATAACTGTAAGGCAAGCATTCAGAATTCATCATCGATATCCTATTATTAGCTATACTGAAAAATACTCAGACCACAACATTTGAAGTTGACAGGAAATTGTATGATTTAAAATAAAACAGACACAAGGATTGTGCCTCTCAACAAAGAGGAGGTGGAAATTTATCAATGCTTCCAGCGCCAATGTTTGGTTGTGTCCGGTTTGCAGTCAATCATGAACACACATGTACGTACGCACATGTACATGTATATGCACATGGCCTAAGAGGCGATTTTCCGTCAGTATTTTTTCCGAACGGATAACGGCTTTTTTATTTGAGATTTTGGAACAACTAGTAAGAATCTAGAAAATTCCATTATATACATCGTATACATACAGAACAACAAACTTGACCAAAACGAAAGACAAGTTTATTGGCCACCTCACTCACTAAATCTGGTTGCGCACTTAATTACTGGTTTGCCCGTCAAATTCGGCTTTTCTCTGGCACTGCCTTAAGATTGAGCACAAGTCCGACTACGATCAGCATGCGTCCAATCAAACGTCATCTTGTACGGCTATTTATGACATCATTGGCCTAATGTGGAACGTGAAGGTGCAGCTTTTGGAGATTGGTGTTGTCTGAATAAACATAAGCCCAATCGGATGTAGTGAAAATTTTGCATTGTTGAGCAGAATTTATGCCGCATCTTGCATCTTCTCTATTGATTATTAGTGAATTCTCACCATTTGCGTTTTACAGCCATCATGTGATGCAAGGTTGTTGTATGTCTAAACACACACGTGTGCTGAGGTTTGCAGAGTCAAACTTGTTATCTATTTTTCGTTTGCCTTTTTTTAATCAAGTGTGGTATGGTTCGAAAGTGCCACGTTCGATGATTTTTAGTTCAGTTTGGTGGTTTGGCTGCAGCACGAAAATTTACTCAGGCACACAATAAGACTGTGTAACCAAGCCCTTTTAAAACAAGTGTTTGGGCTCCATTTTGCCTTTTACATATTCAACCTATGCTCAGCAAACAGTCGATAATAGCAGATTTGGGCCATTGCCAAGGAAAAAGCGTGGGAACTTCTGGCGGGCGTGCGGCTGTGAGGACATCAGCCTCAGTTCCGGGCGTCAGTGATTATTTTTGTAGAGCACCCGTCCACATGTTTTGGACTTGCTAAAAGCACGCTTACCATGAAGAGGGCACATTACGCATGATCTGACTTCCAGCACTGGGGTCTTGGGGAAAGATTAAACAATAATCAAGGAAACCACAAAATCTTTACACAAGGTGATCAACAAGATATCGTCTTGGGTCTTGCTCCAGGTGTAGATTGGCCAGTTGTGATGTCTGGAACGCCCCAACATTTCTGTGGACCCGTGTGCTGATTTTGGAGCCACTTTGCTTAGAAACAGTACTAACATGTCAACAACTGTTAGATTGACATCTCAGGTTGACATGATTTGTAAACGACTGGTTCATTGTTTTCATGTACACTTAGCAAAATGAACAAATGTTGATACATCTTGATCAAAGAATGCCTATTCCCGTCAATAAATGCACGAACAGTGTATCAAAACTTTTTTCACACTGTTTTAAAGGACGGGCATTCTTCATCCTGCCGTCTGTATTCACGAGGTTGGTCATGTTTCATGGCACCCATTGTTTCGATGACAAAGGCGCACGGCCAGCCCTGCCCATTAACTTTGCCATGCAAGAGCACACACCACTGTCCAATCCGTGGGTTCTCACCCTCCTTGACAATGGACTGATCGGTCAGAACACTGACAAACCGCAGAAGAATGCTTAGTCAATTTCGCGATGGCGCCTTATAGTCAAAAGTGCTTTTCTCGGCTGTGTTGTCGTCTTAGCACAGCTCATATTAAGTAAATTTTCTTTCATAGGAATGTGTATATTTTGGACGGAACTGAAGAAAGCAAGCACGCTTGAGACGAGATAGCACTTATTAATGAGCATATGCTCATAGTAAGCACGACCTTGTCTCAAGTGTGCTCGTGTTGATCATATTAATCTGTATATGTACAAGTATCAGGTACCTACCCATAACATCTCGCACAAACTCTGGTGGTTCTCTTGCTTTCCATTCTTTTGGTCTATCTGGAATGTAGACAGGCTTGTCCTGTAAACATAATTAGCAAAACAAATACTTAAAAACATCTAAAAATGCAAATGAATTAGAACAACAAATTCTTCATGGGTCACTCATTTTTAAGTTTGACACTTTCCAAAATCAATCATAACGGTAGCGCCACTTTTTAAGCACCAGATACACTAATGATTAAATTGAAGTACCCATGAAAATGCGAGCGAGTACAAGGACTTACGGCCGTTTACGTGCGCTTTCGAGGGTCTCGTAACTGCTCGAGAGGTCCCGCAAACCCTCATAATACCCGCACTCGCTCGAACTTGCTCGATAACCCTGGTGTGCACACGTAAATAGACCAACCTTCGAACGAGCGTTTGCGAGGGTTCATTGACCCGTGAAACGACAGCTACTTCCCAACTACGAACCATTAATGTGGACGGACTGTTGATCGGTTTGAATGGTAAGATGGAAAAACGACGGTCAACGCGACATGTGCAACTTCGTAGTCGGGCCTGGTATAACAGATTCCTTTTTAGT